TGACATATACTGCTGCCGCTGCCACCTCCTGTGACTGCCATTTCAGCAAAGGAGCTCTCTGCTGCCCACTACCCCCTGGGAAGGGGACATTCAACTCATTTTTCAAAGGTTCTTTTGTTAACCTCTTACATAGAATCATAGAATCCCTACACTGTGGAAACAGGCCCTTCAGCCCAACAAGTCCACACCGACTCTCAGAGCATCCCACCCAGACCCATCCCCCTTTAACTCCCCCTTAAACCAGGCATCCCTGAACACTACGGGCAATTTAGCATGGCCAATCCACATAACCTGCATATCTTTGGAATGTGGGAGGAATCCGGAGCACCCGGAGGAAACCCACGCAGACACGGGGAGAATGTGCAAACTCCACACAGACAGTCGTCCGAGTGTGGAATCGAACTCGCGTCCCTGGCGCTGTGAGGCAGCAGTGCTAACCACTGAGCCACCGTGCCGTACATAGTGCGGGTCATGTTGCCATCTGAAGAGAAATGGTAGACCCACATGCCAAGTACTAAGAAACCAACTTTGTCCATCAGCGGATATTTACTTATCTGTTGCTGGATCTTCTCAGCTGACGCATCGGGGTCATAGCTTTTCTTCCCTATTTTTATATCACGATGCATGGCTCCTGACCTTCCAGATTAGTCTTTTATATGGCACCTTGTCAAATGTCTCCTGGAAGTCTAGGTATACCATATCCAACCCCGGATCCCCATTATTCACCTTGCTGGTTACATACTCAAAGAACTCCTCTAAGTTTGACAAGCACAACCTGCCCTTCATGAAACTAAGATAACAAGGGGTAGAGCTGGATGAACACAGCAGGCCAAGCAGCATCAGAGGAGCAGGAAGGCTGACGTTTTGGGCCTAGACCCTTCATCAGAAACTATGCTGACATAGCTTTCTTTTTCAACCTGTTCAGTTATCTCCTCCTGTATGAATGACTCCAGTAACTTCTCCACTACAGAGGTCAAACTAACTGTTCTTTAGTTTCCCACTTTTTGCTGATTTCCTTTTATGACGGTGGCCCAGAAGATATACAGCACGCTTGCCTTCATTGACTGGGGCATCAAATATAGAAATTGGCAAGTTATGTTACAGCTGTATAAAACTTCAGTTAGGCCATATTTGGAATATTGTATGCAGTTCTGATCACCACATCACCTGAAGGACGTGAATGCTTTGGGGACAGTACAGGGAAGGTTTGCCAGGATGTTGCCTGGTCTGGATGGTTTTAGTTATGAGGAGACGTTGGATAAATTTGGATTGTTTTCACTGGAAAGACATAGGCTGAGGGGAGACCTGATAAAGGTCTACACAATTATGAGAGGCATAGATAGAGTGGCTAATCAGAGGCTTTTTCCCAAGGTGGAAAGGTCCACTACAAGAGGGCATAGGTTCAAGGTGAGAGGGGGAAAATTTCGGGGAGAAGTCCTGGGAAAATTTTTCACACAAAGGGTATGGATGCCTGGAGTGCACTGCCAGTGGAGGTGGTGGAAGCAGGCACATTAGCAATGTTTAAGGTGTAAGGCAAACAGAGGGATAGAAACCCCATACGGGCAATAAGTAGCAGGTGCAACCTTGGTGGGCCGAAGGGTCTGTTCCCATGCTGTATTGTATTGAATAAGGGCATCACATTAGCATGTTTCCAATCCACTGGTACCTTTCCAGAATCCAGGGAATTTTAGAATATCATAACTAATGCATCCACTATCTCTGCCATCACCTCCTTTAATACCCTAGGGTGCAGGCTATCAGGTCTCAGTGACTTATTTAACTTTAAAGCCATTGGTTTACTTAATACATTATCCTGATATATAGTAATTTCACCAATTTCCTCTGTAGTAACTACAGTTTTTGATAAGAAATTATCAGGCACTGTGAAAACAGACAGAAAAACTGGTTTACAGCCTCTGTAATCCCCATTGTTACCCTGCCATTTTCATCCCCTAAAGCACCAACATTTACCTTCACTATTCTCTTTCTTAGTATATACTTGTAGAAGCTTTTGGTATCAGTTCTGAGGAAGGGTCACTGGACCCGAAATGTTAACTCTGATTTTTCTTCACAGATGCTGCCAGATCTGCTCAGCTTTTCCAACAACTTCTGTTTTTGTTTCTGTTTTACAGCATCCGCAGTTCTTTCGGTTTTCTGCCAGTTTCCTTTTGTAGCTCATCTTCGATCTTTTGATTTTGTTTTTAGAAATCCTTTGCTGATGTTTAAAATTCTCCCAATCCTCCAGAATGCCGATAACTTTTGCAGTAATATATGCCATTTATGTTATCCTTGACTTTCTTGTCAAGCCATGGATGACTTTTCACCTTTTTACAATTCCTCTTCCTCTCAGGAACATACTTTAATTGAGAGGTATTTAGTATCTCCCTAAGCATTTGCCACTGTTCTTCAACTGTCCTGCCCTTTAATATTTTTGCCCAGTCGACTCTGGCCAACTCCTTCTTCAGGCCCATCTTTGCCCAACACAAACTCTCGTACACGACTCCACTTTCACTCTTTCAATCTGACTTTGAAACTCAAGCAATTTCCCTACCACCGGCCTGTAACTTCCCCGAATATCCCTGTTGCCCTTCTTCAACAAAGAAACAATGCTGGCTATTTGCCAGTCCACTAGGACCTCTGCTGTGACTAAAGAGGAAACAAAGATTTCATGCAAGGTTTCAGCAATTTCCTCATCTGCGTCCCTCAGCATTCTAGGATAGATACCATCAGGTTCTGGGACTTATCAATCATGATGCTTTTCAAAATACCTGTTATCTCTGACTCCAGCATCTGCAGTTCTTGCTATTTCTGTATATCCAACACTTCTTCCTTTTCTATACTGACATGCCCTTGAATATCGACATACTCCTCCCGAGACTCGCCATTCACATTGTCCTTCTCCTTTATGAATACCAATACAAAGTATTGGCTAAGGATCTCACCGACTTTGTCCAGCTCCATGTATAAATTCCCTCCTTTATCCTTGAGTGAACGTATCCTTTCCTTAGCTATACTCTTGCTCCTTATATATTATGAAACACCTTGGGATTTTCCTTAATCATGTTTATCAAAGGTATCTCATGGCCCTTTTTAGCCCTCCTAATTCCTCATTTGAGTTCTTTCCCACTGTCTTTGCATTCTTCAAGGGCTCTATCAGTCTTCAGTTTCCTAAATCTTATGTATGCCACCTTTCTCTTTTTGACTAAACTTTTAATCTCGTCATCTAAAGTTCCCAAATCTTGCCATTCTTATTCATTTTCACAGGAATATGCTGGTCCTGAACTCTAATCAACTGCCCTTCAAAAGTTCCCACATATTAGATGTGGATTTACCCTCTAACAGCTGCTTCAATCTACCTTGGATGAAAATATAGGAGGCAGGGTTAGTAAGTTTCTGGATGACACCAACATTGGTGATATATTGGAGAGTGAAGAAGGTTATCTAAGACTACAAAGAGATCTTGATTAATTGAGTCAATGGGCTGAGGAGAGGCAGATGGAGTTTAATTGGATAAATGCGAAGTAGTGCATTTTGATAAAACAAAGGAGGGCAGGAATTCTACAATTAATGGTAGGGCCCTAGGTAATGTTGTAGAACAGAGAGACCTAGGGATATACATAAATCTTTCAAATTTGCATCACAGGTAGACAGGGTAGTTAAGAAGGCATTTAGCACGCTTGCCTTCATTCTTAAGACCTTTTGAGATAGCAAGAACTTCAGATACTGAAGTCAAAGTCAACAGTGTGGAGCTGGAGGAACACAGCAGATCAGGCAGCAAAGGAGCAGGAGAGTTGACGTTTTGGGTCGGGGCCCTTCATTAGCACTGGCCCACTGAACAATTCCTTTCAATTCTGAGAACCAAAACAGTGAAACCTATGGACATCTCAAAAAAAAGGGTAGAATATGCAACATATATTGCTCAGGTCCAGTTATGCAATACTTAAGGTGTATAATTCTAACAGAGTGTCCTCAGAGATTGAATACATAGTCAAATAAACATCTTCCTAGATTTCCCAAACACAGATTGTTATCCTGCTACCCCATGATGATAACTGGTGTTCAACATGTATCAGATAAAAATATATTTTAGGAAACATGATACATTTAAGAGGTAATGTAAAGAGAATAAAACTTAAAAGTCGTCATAATCCCAGAGACCACAGGGCTGCTCTTTCATTACAGACAGATGAATGGAGGTAGTTTAACTTGAGTGTCACCATGCCTCAGGTGAGGGGAGACTTTGAGAAGGAGGGACCTTCAGGGTAACCTCAGCTGGTACAGGAATTGAACTCATTTTTTCTTCATTCATTCATGGGATGAGGGCATCGCTGGCTAGGTAGCATTTAATGCCCATCCCTAACTGCCCAGAGGGCAATTATCAGTCAACCACATTGCTGTAGGTCTGGAGTCACCTGTAGGGCAAACCAGGTAAGGATGGCAGTTTCCTTCCCGAAAGGACATTAGTGAACCAGATGGGTTTTTCCAACAGTCAACAATGGATTCACGGTCATCATTAGACTCTTAATTCTAGATATTTATTGAATTCAAACTTCACCATTTGCCATGACGGGATTCGAACCAGGATCTCCAGAATATTATCTGGGTCTCTGGATTAACAGTCCAGTGACAATACCACTAGGCCATCACTTTCCCACGAAGATAATTGTTATCGTCACTCTTCGTCACAAACCAGCCGTAGCAAAATGAGCTAATCGACTTGCATTGTAAAGACAATAGGGACGGTGATTCATGGTTGTCTCTCTGCTGGTAAGGAAAGCAGTCCTGAAGCTTAAGTACCTTGATGCTTTTGTACAGGTGCATGAATAGGAAAAGTTTAGAGGGATATGGGTCAAATGCAGGAGTAAACTTGGTCAGCGTGGACGAGTTGGACCGAAGGATCTGCTTCCGTGCTGCATAACCCTATTACAGAAACCTTCATTGGGGAAGCTTAAAGTGAATCAAATAACCAAACAAATACAAAAGTGTATTTAAAAAGTTACCTTCGTCTGCTGCACACTATTTGCCAGTTCACAACTCCATGCTTCCTGGTTCAATTTTCTCAGATCAGTAATTTGTCTATCATGGTCAGCCACTTTTAAGAGGTATTGTTCTTTTGTAGCAGTAGACTCTGAAAGCACTAAGGTCTTCTCTGATCTAAAAGGGAAAACAATAATGTGTCATTTTATCTTGAATTTTGAAAATAACTCAAGTGAGACCTTGCGTATCAAGTAATAAGGGCGCTAGCTATGAAGAGAGGTTGAGTAGGTTAGGATTATTTACATTAGAAGGGCGGAGGTTGAGGGGGGACCTGATTGAGGTCCTCAAAAGCATGAGAGGTATAGACAGGGTGGATAGCAAGAAGCTATCTTCCCCAGAGTGGGGGACTCAATTACTAGGGATCATGATTTCAAGGTGAGAGGGGAAAAGTTTAAGGGAGATGCTCGTGGAATGTTCTTACGCAGAGCGTGGTGGGTGCCTGGAATGCGTTGCCAGCAGAGGTGGTAGAGGCGGGCACGATAGCGTCATTTAAGATGTATCTAGACAGATACATGAATGGGCAGGGAGCAGAGGGATACAGATCCTTGGAAAATAGGCGACAGGTTTAGACAGAGGATCTGGATCGGCGCAGGCTTGGAGGACCGAAGGGCCTGTTCCTGTGTAATTTTCTTTGTTCTTTGTTCTTTTGTTCTTTAATTGATTCCATGCAAATCTGAGAAGGACAAAGCCGTTATTCAATCAGTGCTGGCTTTGGGGAAAAAAAACGTACCACTCAAATACAAACCAGTTTCTGTAAGAAGAGATACAAACCAATTAGTCTGTTTAGTCCCAAAATTAAACTGAAGAGAAAAATCACCTCTCCACAACACAAAATGAAGAGTGTGTCTTGAAGAAGGGTCACTGGACTCGAAACACTCTTGCTATTTCTCTCTCCACAGATGCTGCCAGACCTGCTGTATTTCTCTGGCAATTTCTATTTCATCTCTCCATAAGTTGATTTATGGTAATAACTAATATTATAATTCAAAAATTAACCTAAATTAACCAGACCTGCACAGCGAATTTCCCCTTGCCAACATGAAACTTTTAAAAGCAGTTGTTAAGCTTGCAAGAAGCAAGCTCACTTGTGATTCAGAAATTGACTAAGAGCAAGTTATGGGCTCCAGGCTGACATTCCTGTGTGGGGCAAAGTGAGAGCAATTTTATTGGTGGTTCTGTTCTCTGAATAAGCCCTTAAGCTAACAATCCATCTGCTTCTCAAGTGGATGAGAAAGGCCTCAGGGTACTAAGTAAATATGAATTGCAAGGACTCTGGTCAATATTTTGCACAAAACAAACAACATTAAAAAAAGCTGTTTACTCATTTGCTACTGGTGGGGCCTCTCTCCATGCAGGTTGACTGCTGCATTAGCATGCATAAACTACACATTTATGGTAATTCATTGGTTGCAAGGTACTTTGGGGTGTTCTGTGGCATTACGCAAATGCAACTTCCTTATTCAAACTAAAATTTAAAACAAATAATAAAGATAAACCTTAGTTCAGCCAACTCATTCTGGAAGCAAGAAATGTCTTGTTCAGTGTGTTCTTGTAACTTTGCTTGAAGTAGTTTTTCCAGTTCTTCAATTTTATTCCTAAGCCATGTTATTTCCGAGGAGTTCTGACATAAATTCTGGTCTTTAAGGCAAACCGTCCCTTTTAACTGCAAAACAAGTAAAAGTATTCTTCAACTTTTATGTGAGCATGAATGTAAAACATTGTTATAGCATGTGTACTGATCCCATCCATTGTCTTATGCATAAAATTTTGCTCACTACAAAGCAAGTCCTGACACGAAGCAATTTTGTGGCTGTTAATATTATATATTTTAATTGAAGCATCTTGCAACAGTTCTCTACTAAACCCATTTGTTGTGAAGCAGCACCATTACTCTATGTCATTGCAGGGCTCCAATTCAAAATGCATTTCACTTTGCGAAAACGTAATGGTCAATTCTAAAATAGGGCTCGAATTCGCACAAAACAGTGAACTCAACAGTGTTCTACCTTGTGTTCATCTGGGTGCTTGATTTGGAGTTGCTGGATATCCTCTAAATGTTTGCTGTCTCTCTCACTCTGTAGAGGCATCACTGCTTTCTCAAAAGATTCTGTCTGAGAAGTCAACTCCTTATTCTCATGTATAGTATCCCAATGTTCTTGATCACTCACCAAATCATTTGATGATCCAACTAGTTCTTCCTGAGTTCCTTCCTGAACTATTTCAACAGCTTTCTCAGAGATTTTAAACACAGTTTCTGACTTGGTCAGACTCTCAACTTCAAACAGTTTATTTTCATGTTCCTCTAAAATGGTTGTTTTAAAGTCAAAATCCTTTTTTAGTTCACGTGCTTTTGATTTATCTTGTGTGTGTAAAGGGGCAGTCTTGAGTTCTATCATTTGTCCCATAATTTGCTTGTTTTCTACTTGTAAGGATCTTATGCTTTCATTGCATTTTTCAAGGGATTTCTGTGCTTCTTTCCATTGTTCCTCAAAGTTGTTTTTATCTGTCTCAAGATTCTTAATTTGCTGGAGTTGCTTTTGAAGTAGCTCCTTCAACTGATTATCTTTTAAGCACAAGACCTGGTTAAGTTCCTCCCTGTACTGTATCAATTGTGCTCTAAGCATTGCATTTTCAGAATTAAGGTCATCCATTTGGTTGAGCAAATTTCTGATTTCTTGTTTAAGTTCGTTGTTTTCAGTCGCACTGTCCTGAATAAAACCATCCTTCTGACTTAGCATATCAAGGTGGCGTTGTTCAAGTTGCGTATATTCGGATAAGATACGGTCTCTATCATCTTGAAGAGAAGCCATGGATTTTGTAAATGCATCTATTTTGGCAATAGCTTTGTCTTTGTCTTCTCTGCTTTTATCAATCTGCACCTGCAATTCTTTGATTTCATTGGCTGCTTTACGGCTATCATGCTGGAAAACCTTCAACTTACTCTCATAGACCTCCATTTGTGTTCTATATTGTTCTTGTAATTCTGCTACATACTCTGATATTTCACCTTCTTTTGATGAAACGAGTTTTGAAATCTCCATGTCCTTATTGTTTAGCATTAGCTTCAGCTGCTGGGAAATAGCATTTTGCTTCTCTAGGTCAGCATTTAATTTTTCATTTTCAGAAAGAAGCTGATGACTTTCGGATTGTTTCTCTGCCAAATTTTTTCCTAGCATTTGCTCAGTTATTTTCAACTTGGTCACTGAATGGCTCATATCAGAAAGCTGTGTGCTTAAGTCATTATTTTCTTGCAACAATTTGCTCAAAGTTGCTTCTTTCTCTTTTAACAATCTCTCCATCTCTTCAAGCTTTTCAGAGTGTTTGCAAATAAGCGCTTTCATATTAACTAATTCATTCTGGTGTTTCACCTCTGCGTCTTTGCTGCTCACAGTAAGTTCATTTATTGTCTGCTCCAACTGTAAAGATCTATATTGCAGCTCTTGAAGATCAAAAGATTTTAGCTTGATTTCTTCATTAAGTTTCTGTAACATTTCTTCCTTTGCTTGCACTTGATGTTCTTTATTTTGGATAGTATCTTGGAATCGAGTTTCCCATTCCTTGCCTTCTTCAATAATTCTATCTCTGTCATCTTGAAGAGAGGACATACATTTTGCGAATGCTGCCAAATTTGCCAAATTACTATTTAACTCGTCCTGAAGCTTTTTAATGAGCAGATCACGGCCATTTTGTTCAGCCTGTACTTCCAAGAGTTCTGCAACCACCCTGTCTTTATCACGCTCCGTCAAATCCAGTTTGTCCTGATAACTGACTATTTCTTTTTGATGAATTGTTTTCTGTTGATCCAAAATCAGAAGGAGTTTCTTCTCTTTTTCAGTAATTTGGGCTTTCGCTTCCTCTTCTTGTTTTTGTAGTTCTTTCATTAACTCTAAACACTGTGCACGAACACCATCAGCTTCACTTTTGGTATTGTGGAGCAAAACTTTATTAGAAGCAAGTTCTTCTTGAACTATTCTGACTTGTTCTTCAGATTCGAAGACTTTTGTAGTTGCACACTCTAGTCTATTTTGCATTTCTTCACAAGCCGAGTCAGATGCTTTGATTGATCGTTCCAAGTCCAAAATGAGCTCCTGGTATTTGATGCAGTCCTTCTGTAACTGATTTATTTCCTGTTGTTTCTCTTTTAATAGTTCTTGCAGTTGTTTGATTTCACCACTGGATCTGGCTTTATCTCTCTGAGCAGACCGGAGCTTCTCCTCAAACACTTTTGCCAGTTTTATTTCCTGGGCTTCCTGTGCATTGACCAACTGGCATTTCTCTTGTCTGAAGCTATCCAATTCATTGATAAGTGAATTATTTTGTACATGAAGTGTCTTCAGTGCATCTGTTAACTGATCAAGTTTGTCCGCATTTTTAAGTAACTCTGTTTCCAGATACTCTTTCTCATTTTTGACCTTGTCAGACATTTCTTGAACATTTTCAAGTTCTTCTTGAAGAAGGGATTTATCATCTTCTAAAATTTTTACTTTTTCATTTAAGTTCACAATCTCTTCCTGACAGGCTTTCACTACTTGTTGAAGTTCTGTAACTATACCTTCTTCTTCTTGGCTCTCCATCTTGTGATACAACTTCAATTGTTGAAGTTTCTCAGACAATAGTGGTCTTGTTTGCTCTACACCTTGAGACGTTCCATCCTCGGCCTCCAAAATTTGCTTGCCTGGAGATAATGGCTCATTTATTTGGGATTTATCATCAATTTTGGATCCTAACTCAGACTGATGAAATGTCTCTTTGGCCTGTAGCTCATCAAAGATAGATGTGGATGTATTAAGTACCTTCAGTAAATGCTCATTTTCCTTCTGAGTTTTATTAAATTCTGATTTAAGTTTCTCATAGGTTTGTTTTAGCAATTTGTTCTCCTCTCTGAGTTGATTGCATTGAACAGACAATTCATTTGTGTGGCTCTGATTTGCAGAAATAGCTTGCAACTCAGTGCTGATTCTTTGAATTTCATCTTCAAGTTCCTGAACTCTCTGTTGCTTGGATTTTGCAAGTTTTCTCATTTTGTCCTTAGTTTTTTCATTCTGATCACTCACCTCCTCGAGTTGTTTCTCAATATGTTGCCTCTTAGCCTCAACTTCACGGAATTTGTAAACAATCTCTTGCTTTTCCTTTCTGGTTGTTTCAACTATCTGTCTCATTTTATCCATTTCGTTTCCAATGTTTTCATAGGACTGTAAAAGGGATTCATATTCATGCTTTAATTCATCGTGTTTTGCTTTCAACTCCGACAGCTCAGATGCCTGAGAATTTTTCAATGAATCCAACTGGTGAGAAAGGTCTTGCTTCTCTTCTGTTATTGTTTCTAGTGTACGCTTTAGACTTTCATTTGCAACATTTAAGTTCTGTTTTTCTGCAAATATTTCATTTACTTCAGAAAGAAGCATCGTCTTCTCTTCATGATGTGCTGAAATAGCTTGCTGTAAAGACTCCAGCTGTTTCTTTATTTCAACTAAGCTTCTTTCAAGGGTAGAAATCTTGGAAATAAGAACTTCTTTTTCTGATGTTAAAGCGTTAATACTATGCTTAAGAGTTTTATTTTCTTTCAGGGCTTCTTTCCGGGATATTAGCGCAGCTTGTAGCTTTCTTTGAATCAGTTCTTTAGACCTGCACTCTTCAGGATTGCCTGCTGCCTTCTGTTGAACTTCAGGGGTAGAAATCTTTCCTCTTTCCTTTCCTATTTCATAAAATAATTGCTTCTGAACTTGCAATTCCAGTTCTTCTACGAGCTTCTCTTTTGCAGTCAACGTACATTCCAATGTCTGTACAGTGTTATCCTGTTCTTGTAATCTCTCATACATCTTTGCTAGCTCTGACTGCGCAGGCAGTATTTGTGTATGCAGCTTCTCTTCTTCATTTGCTTTTTGAGACTGGAAAGCTTGCTGCAATATTGATTTGACTTCTGCATTCTCCCCCTGGAAAATATTAAGCTGTGCTTCAATTTTATCTTTCTCTCTTTGTAAATCCAATAGCTCTGTTTTGAGACAAGCCAAATCTTTAGCTGAATTTTCCAGAGTTTGAGAATAATTTTCTTTATCTTTTAGCGCTCCCTCCAGGGCAATTTTGAGGCTTTCAGCTTCAGCTTGTATTGAATGCCACTCATTTTGAAGCCAACTAATCTCTGCAGCCTGGCGCTCCTTTTCCTCTTGATACTGATGCTCGAGACTGGTTAGAGAATGCTTTATCATTTGGGTTTCTTCAGATGATTCAATAATCTTAGCTTGTGCTCTTCCTAACTCTTGTTGAAGTTGGTCGTTCTCACTTTGAAGGCTTTTCACATCAGTATCCTTAACTGCTAATGAGGAAACCATGCTTGTTAATTTCTTTTCAAGGATCTGAACTTCATCTTGCTGACTTAAGGCAGCAAGCATTTTGCTTTCCTGCTTCTCAAGTTGAGCTTTAAGCTGTTCCAATGCCTTTTCTTTGTCATTAAGCATAACAGTGACAGACTGCAACTGCTTTTGCAGAGTCCCTGTTAGTTCTCTATTACACTCAAATTCCATTAGCTTTGTTTGATGTGTTTGGAGGAGTGCAGCTAATTCTTCTTTCACATTTTCTAATTCTTTGGTTTGCGCAGAATACATTTCTGAAATGTGATTATATTCTTCCTTCTGTAGGGACAACTGCTCTTTATGGTTTTTATCCTTCTCATGAACCTTTTTGATAGCTTCTTTTCGAGCCAAAAGAGCTGCCTGAAGTTTCTTTTGTAAATGTTCCTTTTCTTGTTTAAGCACATTTAGTGGCTCAATGAAATCAATATTATCATTTCCAGGATTGACATTCCTACCAGATGATTCAATGTTTGAACACTCTGTTTGTTTTGGTAAAGAAATTTTAATTTTCTCAAGATCTGAATTAAGTTGACAGCGCTCATCTTCAAATGCTTTTTCTTTGTCTTTTAAAATAGCCTGGAGTTGGGCAATTGAGGAATCTTTCTTTTGAATAGTTTGAAGCAATTCAACAGACATGGCTTCTTTTTCCATTTCATATTTACTGAACTTTCTTTCCAACTGTTCTATATCAGTTTCTTTTTTGGAAAGGGTCTCACTAAGAATATTTATATCGCTGTCCTTTTCTACCAACTGTTGTTTGAGGACTTCAAGATGTGATTCAAGCTGTTTAATTTGTTTCTGACTAATTGTCATTTCCGAGGTCAACTCTTGTGTCTGACTTTCAAGCATTCTGTAATTATGCTGCATTTCTGTGATTTGCTGATCTTTCTCTTTTTCAGCAATGGCTCCTTTCTGCAACTCTTGAACTTTCTTCATCAAATCCCTTCTAGTTATTAGTGCAGCTTGAAATTTCTTTTTGAGTATGTCCCGTTCCTTTGTAAGCACTTCTGTTTGTGAAAGTAGCTGTTCATTTTTGGCAGCAATGCCTTCGTATTGGATTTCTTTTGAATTCAAAATAATTTCTTGCTCTTCTAGTTGTTTCTTATATTTGACCAGTTCATCTGTAAGCTTTTCTATCTTTTCATTAGAAACATGGTGCTGAACTTTAAGCTCTTGTATTTGATCAGTCAAATGTTTTTCCTCTTCTGCTGCTTTAACAATTTCCTTTAATTTCGATTCTGTAAGCTGCATGGTTGTAGCTTCTTTTTCTCTCAGCTGCTGGCTGACAGAAATTACCATCTCTTGGTGTTGGTTCACTTGCATATTCAGTAAGTGTGCTGCTTGTTCCTTCTTTTGCAAGGAATCAAAATGCTGAGCCTCTTCCTTGACTGCATCCTTCAAAGCACTGATCTGCTCTTTTGTTGAATTATTTTGTTGGATACTCTCATCTAAAAAGGGTTGTTTTTCTCTTAGTATAGCTTGTGATTGTATCTCTTGAAGATCAGCTACTTGTCTTTGTAAAGCTTCTAGTTCTAAACGATGACTTAACTTGGTTTGCTTGAGCTCATTACAAAGCGAGAGCTTTTCTTCTTCAAAAGATTTTAATTTATCGCTCAAGCTTCCTGTAATTTCTGAACTTCGTTTTTCACTTTCTGAAATGCTCCTTCGCAAGTTTTCAATTTCTTTTTCTTTCTCAGACAGAATTTGCTTTAACTCAACAACAGCAGATTCAGTACTTAAAACCAAAGTTGACAATTCATCCAGTTTGGATTGTTTCTCAACAACTTGTTGACTGAAGTTTGATGCCAACACTTCTTGCTCTTTCAGACGACTTGAACTGGTTTTTATTACAGATGACTGTTCACCAAGTTTCTCTTGCAAATTATCTAGAGCCTTTTGCAAGCTGTCTATTTTAACATCTTTCAACTCTAATTGATTCGCTAAATTGCTCAATTTCTCTGTTAGCAGATTATTTTTCTCAGTTTCACTACCAAATTCTAATGATTTCCTTTCTGATTCAGTCAGATTTTGTTCTAATTTTTTAACTTCCAGTTTCAGTTTTGCTATTTGCTCTGATTTAACACTGACCTGGTTTTGAAGAGATTCATTTTCATCTTTCATGCGCTGTGTAACATCAAGTTTTTCCCTGATATCACACATTGTTGCAAGCTTTTCTTCAAGCACCTGTAATTCATTCGCTTTCTGCTGATATGAGGCACTCACTTGTTCCTTTTCCATCTTCATCATGTTAATCTGGTGATCCAATTGTGAATTTTCTTTTTTAAGTTGATCATTCTGTTGATAAAGATGTTCAACCAGTGCTGTTTTATCTTGATAGTCTTGAGCAGATTTTTCACTCAAAGCCTTTAGCTTTGAGTCAAGTTTCTCAATGTGATGTGTCTGATCCAAATATTTCTTCTGAAGGATTAGTTCATTCTGTTTTAAATCTTGATTAATCATGCCAAGTCGTTCTGCAGCTTCTTTATATTCGATCTTTTGCGCTTCTAGAGTTACAATTTGACTCTCCATGTTCCTCTGACTGATAGCAAATGTTTCATCTTTTTGCTGTAAAACATCCCTATAGTCAGTTAGTGATACCTGACTCTTTTGCAGTTCCTCTTTTAGTGACTTAACTTCAATCATAAAAGCATTTGCATTACTTTCTATGACTTGAACACTGGCATCCTTTGCACAAAGTGCTGCCTGAAGTTCTGTTATTTCTTGCTCCTTCACATGAAGCATTTCACGGAATTCCTCAAACTGTTCAGTCTGCGCAGCATACCTTTCCTGCAGGTGGCTAAAAGCAGTTTCTTTCTCCCGCAGTAACTCCTCAAGTCGCTTCGACTCAGACATCAGGTACTGCACTTCACTCTGGAGTCGAGAAACCTTCTTTGTACTCTCAGCGAATTCCAATTTCAGAAAATCACACTCACTTGCTCGGTCTTGCCATTTCCTGACAAGTTTTCTTTCCTCTAAAATTGAAGCTTCCTTTTGCACAAGAACCTGTTTCAATTGACTTATTTCTGAATTCTGTTGGTTCATTTGATTATTACATTGTGAAAATAAATGTTCAAGATTAGTAAACTTTTCATTAAGTTCTGTATACTCCGTTTCCTTTGTTTGTATTTTTAACATTAATGCTTCATTGCAAATTGTGGTACTTTCCTTGATCTGTTGCACTATCATCTCCTTTTCCTGAATAGTCGTTCTCAGCTGTTCAGCTTCAGTACTGGCAGCTGCCAGTTGCTCTCGAAATTGTGAAACTGTATCCTCTGTTTCAGAGAATGTTGCTTTGATTTTGACACACTCTTCGACTTTACAGGCCAGCAGCTTGTCTCTTTCTTCAATGTTACATTTTAACTCATTTGTTTTAGAAGTCATGTCCTGGATTTGGTTCTGAAGTTTCAAAATGATTCCAGTATTTTCCACAGATTGCAATTTTAATGCCTCTTGCTCTGCTGTCATTTTCTGAAGTTCTCCATCTAAGTAAGCCTTCTGTTGAAGAGCTGTCTCTTTTTCTTGCAACGTCTGTTTAAGCTGAGCAGTTTCAGATGTGATAATTTGCACCTGAGCTTGTAAATGCGAAATTATCTGCACGTATTGACTCATCTGACTGTCCTCCTGCAATACCTTGCCTTGTTCCTGTTGCAGCAACATTGCCTGCTGATTTGGTGCAATCTGTTTCCCTTCAAGATTCAGTGTAAATTTCCCATTACTAACATCGAAGGTACAGTCATTTTCATTCAGCGAGGTTATCATTTCCACCTTTTGTGACAGCAAGGACTGAAGGGCTGTAACCTCATCTGTTTTACTGCATAGTGTAGAATTCACATTTTCAAGGTGCTCTTTAAGTTTCTGATTTTCAGTGACAAGAATTTTTGCCTGATCCTGTGCAAGGGCAGCCACAGACTCACAGTCATTTATTTTTTCCAGCAGTTGATTGTGCTCAGCAGTCCACTTACTTAAAGATATTTGCAGCTCTTCATTTTCACTCTGAAGACATTTTTTGTCAACAGTCAGTGTTTCCATTTGCTTTTGCAAGAATACAATTGTATTGGCTTTCTGATCAAGCTGTCCTTGTAGTGCCTGGCATTCGTTGGACTTATCACTTAGGAGCGATTCTCTATTTTCTAACAGTTGCCTGAGATTTTCCCTTTCTTCAGTCAATGCATGTACTTGATTCTCTAAGCTTTTAGCAATAAGCTGTTGCTGACTTAATGTTTTCTGCAGACCACTGCACTCAGATAGCTTTTGTTTTAAAGCTACATCTTTGACCCCAAGTTCAATATTGGAATCCTGAATCTGATCTTGTAGACGCATCAATGTTTCCTGTCCTTCACGGAGCTGGTTTTGGAGTGAGATACATTCGGTAATTTTACTGTTTAATAAATCCTCCTTTTCAGCATGTAAAAGACGAAGTTCTCCAAGCTGGACTGTCAAGGACTGCAGTTGCCCTCGAACCTGCTCAGTGCTTTTCTGATTCTCTAGAATTTGATCTTTCAGAAAGTTACACTCGTTTATTTTTTCACGTAATTGCTTTTCCAGTGTTAGTTCCTTCTGTTCCAATGTTTTCAGAAGTTCTAGTTTTGGGACTATAGACTCTTTATGTTTTTGAAGCTCAGAAACTGTACTTATGTACAGTGAAATCTGCTCTTCTTTGGAAGCTATTCCTTTTTCTAACTGTTTGACAACATCATTTTTCTTTAAAAGCTCATCTTCTTTATTATTGACAACCTCCTTGAGATTTTCATTTTTAATATTCAGTTCTTTTATCTGATGCTCTAAATCGAACTGGATCTCCGAAGTATTAGCAACTCTTTCATTTGATTCGGACAGAAGTTTAGCTTGCTCTGAAAGGCTTTGAACTTGCTCTTTCACTGTTGCCTGCAGCTGCACATTTGTTTCATTAAGTTTTTGTGTTTGTCTTTGTGAGTCAGTGAGTAATTTGGTCATCTCATCTACCTGCCTTTTCAAATCTTGCCTTTCAGTTTCTTTAGCTTGTACTTCTTGGACAAATTGAGAATTGGTTTCTTGAATAGCTTGAAGCCTTCTCTCCAAAGAGGCAACATAATCCAACTTCTCCTGCAGCCTGATTTTAGCTTCTTCTTTATGTTCAGCAAATTTCTTGGACAACTTTGTCAACTCCTCCTCTTTTCCTACAGTGTCAGCTATCAGATTGTTGCATTGATTCTTCAAAGTTTTCAGCTCATTCTCCAAACATTGTTCTTTTTCCTCCTTCTCTCGGAGAGAACTGCCAAGTCTTGCTTTTGCCAAGTTGATTTCAATCAATTGAGCCTTGAGAGTTTCAATTTCTTGTTGGTTTGCAGCATTTGTTTCTTGAAGCTGTTGAGTGGCTATGATGATCTTATTTTCAAGAAAGGATATCTGAGCACTACAATCCACAAGATGAGCTTTATTTGATATTTTCTGCTTCTGTAATTCTGAATGTAGACCTTGAATTGTGTTATTATTTTCTCCAATCTGCTTCAATAAGGATGCAATTTCTTTCCCCTTTGTTTCATTGTCACTCCTAGCATTGCTGAGCTCAGACTCCATCTGAGAAAGTTGATCTACAAGTGCAGAAATGCTGGCTTTCATGGTCTGTTCATCAACAGTTTGAGTTTTCTTTAGTAGCATGACCTCCATTTCAACCTTTTCTAAGGCTGCCTTAAGTTCTCCAACCTCCTGCTCCTTACATTTATTTTGCTCTTTCAGTATTTTACTGTGCTCTGAATATTCCACCGCAGTCTTAGAAAGGTCAGTCAATTCGTGTGCCTTCTCTGCAATTGTCTCTTTAAGCAGGTCAATCTCTCTTTCACAGCTTTGTAAATCATCTATCAGGCGGGCTCGCTCCTCCACGTGGATTGAATTAAGCCGCTCTAGCTCATCATTTGCCTGGTCTAGATCCTGGTGTAGAACTTCCATTGCAACTTCCTGTTTCTGCACCTGAATGTCACAAAAGAAGATGTTTATATGACAGTGTAAATACATGCTGGTTTTTTAGATTGTGCTTTTTACAATGACCTTCAACAGAAAAACAAGATTAACTTTTGCTTGATTTTGCACGTTACTGATGATTAAATTACTTTATGACAAATTCTCCAAACATTCAAATGAAAGCAAAAGCAAATAAGTACAATATCTCACAGTAATCAAGAAATAACATTAGAAATATCAACATGAGGAAAGGCAATTTGTTCTGCCAAAACTCTCATCTCTAGAGTGGTCAAGCAGGCATATGGCATGCTTTCAGTCATCGGATGGGGTATTGAGTACAAGAGTTGGCAGGTCATGTTACAGTTGTATAGGTCTTTGGTTCGACCACATTTGGAATACTGCGTACAGTTCTGGTCGCCACATTACCAAAAGGATGTGGATGCTTTGGAGAGGGTGCAGAGGAGGTTCACCAGGATGTTGCCTGGTATGGAGGGCGCTAGCTATGAAGAGAGGTTGAGTAGATTAGGATTATTTACATGAGAAAGACGGAGGTTGAGGGGGGACCTGATTGAGGTTTACAAAATCATGAGAGGTATGGACAGGGTGGATAGCAAGAAGAAGCTTTTTTCCCCCCAGAGTGGGGGACTCATTTACTAGGGGTCACGATTTCAAGGTGAGAGGGGAAAAGTTTAAGGGAGATATGCGTGGCAAGTTCTTTACACAGAGGGTGGGGGGTGCCTGGAACGCGTTGCCAGCGGAGGTGGTAGAGGCGGGCACGATAGCGTCATTTAAGATGTATCTAGACAGATACATGAATGGGCAGGGAGCAGAGGGATACAGATTCTTGGAAAATAGGCGACAGGTTTAGACAGAGGATCTGGATTGGCGCAGGCTTGGAGGGCCGAAAGGCCTGTTCCTGTGCTGTAATTTTCTTTGTTCTTTGTTCTAAAGCTGTATTGCAACATCTCATACTTTTGCATATCGCTATGGTTTTGTGCCATGTTCTTACCTGGTAAATTGATCTAAACATTCGTCACTCTTACATAATATCATTTTCCTCATTGAACATATTTCTAGTGAGGTTCAACATAATGTTTTAAGAAAATAATTCGAAACCACATTGACAAATCCTGATTTTGACTTCGTTTTACTTGTATATGCATACCTCAAAGAAGGAATCTTATCTTACGCAAAGAAAGTTAAGAATTACAATTTGTTCAAATACATTTTAAGTTCTCCAATTCTATTGAATTCACTAAAACAAACTGAAGTGCCTTAAAATCACACCACTAGAAACTTGCTAGGACTGAGTCCATGCAGTTGCTGAGTAAGAAAGTCTAAATTTGCATGTTATACAAATCTAGTTTACTTTGCAGTGGGCAAACTGAAATCTACAGTTTAAATTCTGTAGTAGTCAGCTTTAAGCAGATTTTCTGTCAAGGGTTCCACTAAACATCAGCTCAATTTAGGAGCAGCCAAAACTGAATCATCATTAGCCAAGTCAGAAAGGTGTTTTGTATTAAGACCATTTATAATCAGTTAAAGTAGCACAAGTTAATTAATTCAGAGAGTTAAGAAGAGGGAGGGAGACAAGCTCTGTTGCTTTTTGATAAGCTTCTTCAGCCTCTGAGAACTGATTCTTACTCTGTGATAGGAGAAGCTGCTGCTAAATTCAGTGAGTATTTGATGAATAGGAATTATCTTATTTGCAAGGTTCAAAATAACTTAGCAGCTGGTGATAAGGTTAATAAAGTATACAAAAACATAAGTAAATATAAAGTTGAATACAAAAATAACTCAGCTCCTTACAGCACATTTAAGGGTGGCAGAACACAGTTGATGTCGCACAGTTGCAGCATGTGGGAGTTGCTGGACACCAGTTTGGTCCTACACAAGTATGTCTAAGGCAAGAGTCTCACTTTTCAGCAGCTTCAGCTTATACTTTAAGAGCTGAAGGCTGAGGTACAGACATGGCATAGCATCAGTAACTGTGAAAATTAACTGGATTCCAATTCAGGATGATGAGTGCCTTGGAGATAAACTTGCAGGTGGTGGTGTTCCCATGTAACTGTTGCCCTTGTCCTTCTAGATAGAAGTGATCGTGGGTTTGGCAGGCACTATCTAAGGATCTTTGGTGAATTTCTGCAGTGCATCTTGAAGGTAGTACACACTGTTGCGACTGAGTGTCAGTGGTGGAGGGATTGGATGATTGTGGATGCGGTGCTAGTCAAGCAGGCTGCTTTGTCCTGAATGGTGTCAAGCTTTTTGAGTGTGGTTGGAGCTGCACTCATCCAGGCAAGTGGGGAGTATTCCATCACACTCCTGACTCATGCTTTGTAGATGATGGGCAGGCTTTGGAGAGTCGGGAAGTGAGTTACTTGCCACAGTATTCCTAGCCTCTGACCTGCTCTTGTAGGATTACATAGCTGGTTTTGGTGAATGGTGACCCTCAGGATGTTGACAGTGGGAAAATCAGCAATGGTAATGTCAAGGAATATAAAGAGCAATATTTTCTGGAGATGGTTCTTGCTAGGCATTTGGCAGTGTAATTTTTTTTAATAGAATTCATAGAATCCCTACAGTGTGGGAACAGGCCCTTCAGCCCAACAAGTCCACACCGATCCTCATAGCATCCCAACCAGACCCATCCCCCTATAACCCATCTAATCAACTCATCCCTGAACACTATGGGCAATTTAGCTTGGCCAATCCACCTAGCCTGCACATCTTTGATCAGAGATATAGAGAGAGTGGACAGCCAGAGACTTTTTCCTAGAGTGAAGGTAGCTATTACGAGGGGGCATAGTTTTAAAGTGAGTGGAGGTAGATATAGGGGAGACGTCAGAGTTAGGTTCTTTACTCACAGAGTGGTAGGGGTGTGGTATGCATTGCCGGAGCGGGAAGCGGAGTCAGCCTCATTAGGGGCATTTAAGCGACTATTCGATAGGCATATGGATGCTAGTACAAGGTAGGGGTGGAAGTTAGATAGACCTTAGGTTTAGGGTAAAAGTTCAGCACAACATTGTGGGCTGAAGGGCCTGTACTGTGCTGTGCTGTACTGTTCTATGTTCTACGTGGGAGGAAACTGGAGCACCCGGAGGAAACCCACGCAGACACGGGAGAATGTGCAAACTCCACACAGACAGTAGCCCGAGGGTAGAATCTAACCACTGAGCCACCATGCCGCCCTTTGCCTCTCATCAGTTCAAACCTGGATGTTGCTCATTGCATATTGAAGAGGGCTACTTCAGTTAATGAGGAGTCTCAAAAGTGGTGCTAAATACGGCTGAATCATCAGCAAACATTTCCACTTCTGATAATGGTGGGAAGGTCATTGATGAAGCAGCTGAAGATGGTTACTCTGAGGAAATCCCGCAGTACTGTCCTTGGACTCAAACGTTTGTTCTCTAACACCCACAAACATTTTTCTTTATTCCAGACATGATTCTAACCAGTGAAGATTTATTTTCCTGATTTGCATTGACTCTAGTCTTTCTCAGGCTATGTGATGCCACACTCAGTAAAATGCTGCCTTTTATCAATGACATTCAACCTCAACTCACCTCTGGAGATCAACTATTTTATCCATTTTTGATTAACAACTGTAATGAGCTTGGGAGCAGAGTGGGCCTGGCAGAACAAACTGCTCCCCAAGCTGAGCATGAGCGAGTAGGTTATTGGTGAGCAATTCAACAAGAATTCTTAGACCAGTAGTTTTCAACTGCTGTGCTGCAGTGGGGTGTGGGGGATTGGGGTGTCGGGGATTGGGGTGGCAGGGTTTGGGAGGGTAGACAACATCTGGGTGTAGAGCACTGTCACTCAGAGTCATAGAACCAGACCCTGCAGTCCAACTCATCCATGCCGGCCAGATATCCAAAATTAATCTAGTTCCATTTGCCAACATTTGGCCCATATCCCTCTAAACCTTTCCTGTTCATGGACCCATCCAGATGACTTTTAAATGTTGTAATTGTACCAGTATCCACCACTTCTTCTGGCAGCTCAATCTATACACGTCTCACCCTCTGCATGAAAAGGTTGTCCTTTAGTTCCCTTTTATATCTTTTCCCTCTCATCTTAAACCTAAGCCCACTAGTTTTGGAATCCCCCACCAGACCTTGTGGTGGTCACACCTACAGATGTTGTCAACAACAGATCCTGGTGTGGCAGGCAGATAGCTGAGAATGAGATCAAGTTTGTTTTTCTGTCAAAACTTGCTGCAGACTCAACTAGTAGCTATAGCCTTTAAGATTCCACCTGCAGTAGTACAAGCTACCACTTTGATCAACATTGAAGACCTCCATCCAGAATACATTCTGCACACTTGCTATAGTCAGTGCTCCCTCTGAGTGGTGTTCAATACAAAGGAGGTCTGATTAACCCAATAACTATGAAGTAAGAAAGCTAAAACTTTAAAAAAAAACAAACCAGCTAGTCATCCACCAAGGCAAACCACCATATTTCATAGAATTTCATACAGGAGGTCAACTGGCTAATCATGTGCCAACACTTTTGTAACAAATATCGAATTGTTGTCTGACCCACTACTCTGCTCCTTCCCCACTATTTAAGTATTAGCAATTTAGCTGGTTATGTATTACTCCTACTTACTGACTACAGCTCAGCCTTCAACATTATAATTCCAACCAAACTAGTCTCCAGACTCTGAGATCTAGGTCTCTGTTCTCCCCTCTGCAACTGGATTATTGACTTCCTGACCCACAGACTGCATTCAATGAGAATAGGCAACAGCACCTCCACCATGACAATCTTCAACATCGGTGGCGCACAAGGTTATGTACTCAGCCCCTACTCCCTGTGACCAAATTTCATCTTAACTCCATCTGCAAGTTCACTGACAACACCATTGTAGCAGATCGGACCTCAAATGATGATGAGACAGAATACAGGAAAAAGACAGTGCTTGGTGGCATAGTGTAAAGATAGCAATCTCTTCCTCAAATTTAGCAAAATGAAGAGCTGGTCATTGACTTCAGGAAGTAAGGTGGGGCGGGGGCGGGGGGGGGGGGGGGGAGATGTTGGGGGCGCATTCTATCCACATTGGTGGAGATGGTCGACAGCATTAAGTTCCTAGAAGTGACGATCACCAACAATCTATCCTGGTCCACTCACATTGATGCGGTGGTCATAAACGCACAACAATGTCTTTACTTTCTCAGGAAGCTAAGGAAATTTGGCATGTCTGCAAGGACTCTCAAAAATTTTTATATATGCACTATAGAAAACATTCTATCCGGATGCATCACAGTTTGGTATGGTAACTACTTAGTCTACGAATGTAAGAAACAACAGAGAGTTGTGAACATAGCCCAGTTCATCACGCAAGCCAACCTTCCACCCATTGATTATATCTATACTTCCCACTGCCATGGAAAGGCAACCAACAAAATCAGAGACTCCTCTCACACTGGTTATAATCTCTTGAAAACTTTTTCTGTCGGGCAGAGATACAAAAGCTTAAACACATGGGCCAACAGATTCAAGAAAAGCTTCTTCCCCGCTGTTATTAGATTCCTGAATGGACCTCTCAATTTCAAAGATAACGTTAACCTCGCTCTTTGTGCACATTCTCCGCAGCCGTAAATTGTATCCCTTGCTCTGATCTATTACCCATCTGCACTTTGTACAATAATGAATCAAATCAAAATTACATACTTTTTCTTTGTTTGAAGAAAGTTTCTCTGAGAGGTCCTGGACCACATTTTTCAGATCAGCACATTCTGTTTCAAAAGAACTGCATTTCTTGTTAACGTTTCCTAGCTGAGAGAGAGACAGCGAGACATAGAGAGAGACAGAGACAGAAATACATTCTTTAGTACCACTCCATAAGATCATAAGGCATAGGAGCAGAAGTTAGGCCATTCAGCCCAACGAGTCTGCTCACCATTCAATCATGGCTATTAAGTTTCTTGACCCCATTCTCCCGCTTTCTCCCCATAACACTTGATCCCCTTGACAATCACGAACCTATCTATCTCTGTCTTAAATATACTCAATGACCTGGTCTCCGTAGCCTTCTGTGGCAGTGAATTCCATAGATACACCACTCTCTGGCTGAAGAAGTTTCTCCTTATTTCCAATCTAAAAGGTCTTCCCTTTACTCTAAGGCTGTGCCCTTGGGTCCTAGTCTCTCCTACCAACGGAAACATCTTCCCAATATCCACTCTGTCCAGGCCATTCAGTATTCTGTAAATTTCAATTAGATCCCCCCTCATCCTTCTAAATTCCATCGAGTAATGACCCAGAGTCCTGACACGTTCTTCACACGTTAAGCTTTTCATTCCTGGGACCATTCTTGGGCCGCTCCAGGCAGTACATCTTTCCTGAGGTATGGGGCCCAAAACTACGAACAATATTCTAAATG